TAGCTGGCACTTGAAAACATATTAGCTTTTCATATATGTTATCAGTTGGATACAATTTTGTATCTGTGATTTTATAAACAGGTCTCACTTGAAGCCTCCCCAGTGCTGGATTGGTAGATATTTTCACAGGCCTTCCTGTGGGGTAAAAAGCAGGAAGATTTTTTTTTATTTGGAAGGAAACTTCCAGCTGGACTGATACTGCGAATGTGTATTGAGCAAGGGTAAAATAAGCTGTTGGAGTGATAAATGTGGGAGATCTTTCCACTTTTATAATTATTATTATTTTTTGCATCGTGCAAATGTTTTTGAACTGGTCTGAGGTTTAATCTGCCTTCCTTCCTTCCTTTCTCCCTTGGCCCGAAAGAGAACATTTCCCAGACAGATGGGATTAATTTTGTCGTGTTCGGCAGGTCACTGCAAGTGCTGCCTGTTTTACTGTTTTGCTATTGTTCTTAAGAGTTGGCCTTTGTTATCTTATGCAGCCTGTCACATTTTGAGGGTGAGCAGGAAGTAGAATTCCCAAGGATCTGGTGGGGGTGGAGCTATGCAAATAAGGTCTAGATGGGTATTTGGTTTTTGTTTTTTAAAAATACATGTGTTTAGTGTTAAAATGTTGAAATTTTAAAAAAAGGTTTTTTTTAAAAAAAGCAAGATGATTTAAAAAAAAAATACTACTTTTGAATTAAAATGGGATAGTATAGTATTTGTTAGCGCCAGTTGTTTCTAGTTTGTGCCCGGCTGTTGAATGAAGAACTCTTGTCTTCTGTTCTTAAATAATAGCTTAGTTAAAGGCTTTAGTCAACCACTTCACTTGATAGACTATTAAAAAGAGAGAGAGAAACATTTCCTTTGTTTTATACACGCAGAAGGTATATATTGCAGACATCGCTCTCTAAAAACAGCATTCTCACTTGTTCCACAAGAAAAAATGAGGGGGTGGGGCGTTATTATTTTATTTGTTTTTCTTTTATATGGTAGTTTTTATATCCTTGTAAGCCGCCTTGAGTCGCCATGTGCGAGGAGGTAGCAATATAACTTTTCTAAATAAAAAAAAATTGCTCGTGTTAATAAAGGAGAATATTTGGAGCTCAGGATTGACATGTGGGGTCCTTGGTCCTTGCAGACGTTTCATTACCCAAACATCATCAGTGCCGATGTTACCTACTTTGGGTAATGAAATGTCTACAAGAAACCAAACCAGCTCAGAGAGGACCAAGGACCCCCGCACTGCTCATATTCCCCATTCCTTAGAACAGAGGTCTCCAAACTTGGCAACTTTAACACTTGTGGACTCTGGGAGTTGAAGTCCACAAGTCTTAAAAGTTACCAAGTTTGGCGACCCTGCCTTAGAATAAGTGAAAATACCTTTCCACAAAAGAAGACTTCCATTTTTTGAGACGCAGAAAAGGGAGAAAGGAGCAGAGGAGGCGTTATCATTCTATGGGACCAACAGAAGAGAATAGTTGTGGCTTAGGGTTGAAATGAGGAGGAGTCCTTGATGCTCTCTGAGCTTAGTTGTTTTCTTAAGAGACATTTCATGACCCAACTAGGTAATGTCTTCAGTGCTACTGATGTTACTTAGCTGGGCAATGAAATGTCTGCAAAAAAACCAACCAAGCTCTCAGAGCGCCAAAGGACTCCACATTTTCTGTGATGCGTTGCTGGACCAGGGCAGGAATGCCTATTAAGAGAGGGCCTGACAACTTGCATTTCACTGATAATACTCCAGTTGAAAATTAGAAAAATGCTTTGCAGCCTAATTTGAATAAATTACAGGTAGTCCTCAACTTATAACTTATAACCATTTGTTTAGCAACGTTGAAAGTTGCAACAGCACTGAAAAAAGAAATTTAGAATCAGTCCTCACACTTAATAACCGTTACATCATCCTTACGGTCATGTGATCAGAATTTGGGTGCTGATCAACCAGCATGTATTTATAACAGTTGCAGTGTTCCAGGCCCGTGCAATTACTATTTGTGACTTTCCCACCCGACTTCTGACAAAGTCAATGCAGGAAGCCAAATTCACTTAATGACCAGGTGATTTACTTAACAACTGCAGTGAGTCACTTAACAACAGTAGCAAAAAAGTTCGTAAAATTCGGTGCAATTCACAACAACCGCTTAGTGTTGGAAATTCTAGTCTCAATTGTAAGTGTAAGTCGAGGAATACCGATAAGTATTTTTAACTGGAATCAGCTGTTTAAACAACAGTGGTCTTATTTTTGTCTTTAGCAGTCGACTGGATCTGTTAATCCCCAGAGTTGCTAGTTTAATATCAGGTGGTAGAAAACATGCAGTCTTCAAAATTATAATTACAGCATACGAAGAACAATTGCAAGAATTTGGTATGTCAAGTTTAATGAAAAGAAGGACTAGGGATGTCATGATAGCAGTCTTCCAATATCTAAGGGGTTGCCACAAAGAAGAGGGTCTCAAGCTATTTTCCAAAGCATCTGAAGGCAGAACAAGAAGCAATGGATGGAAACTAATCAAGGAGAGAAGCAACTTAGAACTAAGGAGAAATTTCCTGACAGTTAGAACAATTAATCAGTGGGACAACTTGCCTCCCAAAGTTGTGGATGCTCCAACACTGGAACTTTTAAAGAAGAGATTGGACAACCATTTGTCTGAAATGGTCTCCTGCTTGAGCAAGGGATTCGTCTAGAAGATCTCCAAGGTCCCATCCAATGCTGTTACTCTGCTAATTATCTTTAGCTCAGAATAGAATAGAACTTTATTGTCATTTTGGATGTACACTAATTGGCATACATTAAAATGAAATTTCATTGCATACAGCTCTCAAAGGTTCACCACCTCTAATATCCTCGCCATGAACATGACAAAATAAATTACAAAATTACAATATACCTACATATGTTACGTTCCTGGCATCTCCATGTAAAAATGTTAGAATTGCCAAAGGCATTTTCCTCTGGCAGGATATTGACCTTTAGCTGTCTTATAGAGAAGACAGAGTGGGTTCACACAACATCCTATCCCCTAACCCATTTTAACAAAACAATGTGCCATTTCTACTGTGTTGCCCCCCAAATAAGACCTTGTCTTATATTTTTTTTTGCCACCAAAAAAAGGCACCAGGTCTTATTTTGGGGGGATTTCATCCACTGACTAACCTCACTTGCATTCATCGCCCCGGCCTCATTTTTGCTGTCCGAGGCCTTCACGAACTGAAGGCCTCTGCAGCCAATAAGAGAGTTCCAGATCGATCCAGTGTTTGTTATCAGCTACAGGAAAGCCTTGCCAGCCTTGCTGGCTGCAGAAGAAATGGGCTGGCAAGGCAGGTGTCGGGGTGTGCGAGGCCTGGCTACAACTGTCCAAAGGTAAATAGTAGGGCAGCTCCACCACCACCCCATCCCCACCCTAGCTTAATTTTTACCCATGCACACAGGTAGGTGGGATCTTAATGAGGGCTTATTTTGTGGGGTAGGGCTTATATTGGGCACAGATGTAAAAATCAAGGTAGGACTTACTTTCAAGCTAGGTTGTATTTTGGGGGGAACAGGGTATGTTTCCATAACAAATTATGTTGGAAATAAAAAGCCAAATATGGGCTAAAAGTGATATCCTGGTATGAACATGAGGAACAGCCAGAGACTACTCACCCTCTTTGTAGCTTAGTTAAATATGTTATGTGAATCCAGTCTGTGGTCCTTCCAGATGTTTCTGGACTGCAGCTCATACTACCTGTGATCATTGGGCAGATTGGCTCAAAATAGAGGAATGGAAATTACGGCTGGAAAGACCCAGAATGCCGAACCGAGATAAGTCAATGGCCTGACTCCTCACTAGATGGGCATATGTCCATCAGGAGCATTCTTCATTCAGCCAAGACCTTGGAGTGGCTCTCAGGTTCATCAGCCTTCCCCAGTTTGAAGCCTTCCAGATGTTCTGGGTCTGACACATCTGGAGGATATCAGGCAAGATTGTTTGTCTATCAATTCTGGTTTGTGGGGACTGTTCAATTATTTTTAGGATGGGGACTTCTCTGTTCAGTCTTTGTGGGCAGCACACTTAGAAGGGGAAAGAGGCATCAGATATGTCCATACAGAAGGACCGATGTGAGGCAGTATAGCGGCTCCCAAGGCTGTGTGGGAAACGAGGTGAAAACACACACTCTCTGCTGGAAGTTAGAGTGTGTTGGTCCTTCCTCCTTCCTCCCACTGCTCAGATTAATCTGCCGCTTACCTGCTCAGGAACTGGTTATTGCTTCATTTAGATAACACCCCTGATAGCAGGTTGGGGAAAGCCATGCTAACAGCTGTGCTTCTACCTGTCCTTTGGGGAAGGACAAAATCTACCTTGTACTTTTTGGAAGGATTTCTAAGTGAACATAACAGATCTTTTAGAAATGCAGTTTTAAGGAAATAGAAGTGCATTTCTAACTGATCCTCTACATTTTAAGAATCTACTTCTTTGATTCTTACGGGATCAGGCTTCATCTGTGAAATGCAATCTCTAGAAATACCCTTGTGTTATGAAATTGTTGATACACAGTTGAAGATGTTTTCATTTGCTAGGAATCTGAAGATTTATTTCAGAATAGTAGAATGTTAGGGCTTCTTTGCTGCTTTATTCTGATTTGTATGCTTTAATTTATTGCCTTGATTATTACCGTTCCTGATTTTTATCTTATCGTTGCAGCTTCTCTCTGGGTGGGTTTTCCTATTGTTTGCATAGTGGTTTTTAAATAGCAAACAGTCCCAAGATAGGCAGCCCAATAATTTAACCCTGCAGAATATTTATTGTCTATCCAGCAATTGCAAAAAAAAAAAAAAGCCAACAGTCTTTGCAAACAGTTTGAAGAGCTCACTGATGAAATAAGACAGCTTTGTTTCATTTTAGATTTTGGCTAGATAGCTAAAATCTGTGGCGTTACCTCTCATAATGTTTTTAATTGCTGAATTATTTCCCTTTCTCCCCACACCCATGTTCTCCGATGTTTAATCTTGTTATTGTTTGCTTTCTTTTTTCTAGATGTTTCCCTTGCCAGTGACTAATGGAAAAAACAGACCCACAACTCTTGGTAGCACGCAGTTTGGTGGATCAGGTATTGCTTAACTTTCTCTTCCCTTTGGGGAGAAAAGGCCCAATCTCTCTGATATTTGATGTAACATATTTTCTAATATTGAGACTCTGGTTAAAAATCTGCCCAGGGACCTCATGCTTCCTTTTCCCAGTTAAACACCACAATTTTATTTATTTATTTATTTTTGCCTTGACCTTATCTGCAGGGCTGTCCACAGAAAAGATTATCTGGGGCAGGGATCTAAGGAATAAAATGACATCTCGCTATTTTGATTGTGCTATGGTTTTTTTTTTTAATGTGAGCTTTTTTGAAAATGCACTTCTTTGTGCACTGATGATGTTACCTAGTTTGGGCAATGAAACATCTGCAAGAAAAACAACCAAGCTCAGAGAGCACCACGGACCCCTCATTTCAACCCTGAGCTATTCTTCTTTATTGGCATTTACTTATTTAGTGAAGTGTTCCTATTTTATAAGCTAATGGTTTGTTTTTTCTTTTTAAAAGAAGTGTTTTTCAATCTTAGCAACTTTAGCATTCTGCAGGAGAACACTGGGAATTGAAGTCCACACAAAGTTGCCAAGATAGAAAAACATTGATTTAAGCAATTAAAGCAACTATCTCTCGGTGTTGTGTATGGCACTTCTGGAACTGTCAGGTTAGTACCTTCAAGAAAGGAGAGTGCCACACCTTTCGACCCTGGCCTCCTAGCCATGGGCAAGATATGGAAGAGCCATAGTCCCAAACACCTGGAAGGTCCCCTATGGTGAATGAAGAGCCAAACAAAGTTGAAAATGAAGGGGAATTCCCACCCTTTTTATTTATTAATGGTATAAAGCTACAGAGCGCTCCCTTTTCTTCTCGGGCTGGTCCTTCAGCATGAAAGTAAAGAACTGAACTCCATTGTCACTGGGGATCACTTTGATTTGGGGCGTGTGTTCGAGAAAACTCTTTTTCTGCCAGCGGGCGATACAAGTTTGTGCAAGTGTTGAATGTTGAAGCTACAGGCGGTGAGAACAAAGCCAAATTCCCCGCCACATGTTCTGTGCCTGAAGGTTGTCGTGTCTGTGTTTTCCCCTTTGATGCTCTTTTTCATACACCCCCCCCCAAATGTTTCAAAATGAAGATACTTGCCACAGTCAACCCTTATGGGATATATTGGGATATATTTGCTTGAGGGGTATTATTGTTGTTCTTTGGTTCCATATTTAAGGAATCATGCTTGGGATTTGGATCCATAGGTTTACACTCCAACTCTGCCTCACTTTTGTTCTCTACGGCTGGAAGAAAATCCACCACTTTTGTGTCAGCTCCTTTTGACTCAGGCTGCCGGCTTTTAATTAAAAGACGAGCTAGATAAAATGGCATGAACACATTTAAAGAAGAGGGCAGGGCATGGGTCAACTTAACCCCATATTGCCACAGTGATGAGCAGTCTTTCTAGGCCAGTATTTCTCAACCTCATGTTGGCTGGGGGGATTCTTGGAGTTGAAGTCCAGGCATCTTAAAGCTGCTGAAGAGGTTAAGAAAAACCCTTCTATACTTCCTCAAACAGAGACCCTTTCTTGTTTCCTGTTATTTTCTCACCTTTATGAACTGGAAGTGCCAAAGTCTTAAACTTAGGAAATTCTGCACCCAGACTTGCTATTCCAACTCGGAGCAACCGTCTTTCTGATTTATCTCTGAGTGATACGCCCAACCCTTCCACCCATCCAAACATGTTCCCAGGATTTCCTATCAGGTCTGTGTGTGAATTCCAGAGACCAGAAGCGTCAATCAGCCACTCAGATCAGTTGTGCGGCCTGTAAATTGGCCCAGGCCGGCTCTGCCCCATTATTCGGCAGTTTTAATTCACCAATTATTATTGTGTTTTCTCCATCCTCCTCCTGCCACACCCACCAGCTACACCTTTGCGGATGCAAGAAATGCCAACAGCAACTATAGGATCTGCCATTCTGGAGAGAACAACACATTACAGACTTGGAAGTATGTTTTTCTCTCTTAAGCAACCAGGCTAACATTTTGTTCATACATTGTGCAAAACTGTGGTCTTTTTAACCATACTTTACTGAACAAGCCATACCTATAGGTTGGCAGAACAAGAGTAGCTTTGGTCTGCTGGATGCACATATCACAAAAAAACCCAAACCAATACTCTTTCAATTAATATACTAGGAACCGTGTCCGAGTGTTCACACAATCTGCCCCATGTATTTCTTTCTGAGCTCTTTAGATGCGGCTTCAGAGTGGCTGCAATTAATCACCCATAATATGGACACCTTGTTTAGGTACAGAAAAGTAAATTTGCAAAAATACCTATTTTCCCAGGACTTATTTATTCAATGCCCTGCCCTCCTGGATCCTCCCATCATGCCCTCCCAACCTAGTAAGGATTACTAGGAGTTTAATCCAACCACTCAGAAACCTGTTAATAATGGAGTTATAGTTTTTACCAAATTTCACTATGAAGCCAGATGCCCTAGAATAAGCTAGCAAAACTCAGCTTCCTGCCAGATTTTTCTTTTCTCTAATGCACTGATGGGGCAATGGATAAATTATCTCAGTTTAATTTGATTTCATGCCAGTGTTATGGGGTAGTTTTGAGCTGCTGCCACTGCTGCTTTAAGAGTTTATATACACACAAACCTTTTCTAAGAGCATGCAATGACTAGGCTATGTATATATAAGCTGTGTATAGATAAATAGAGAAGAGAGATCATCGGAGGGGGAGGCAATAAATCACAATGATGGATGCTGCTGCACAATCAAAACCTCTCCCTTTTTATATGCAGGTGTGCTGACCTGGAGAGAGGGCTTAGGTTCAAAGGCAGCATGGCCTAATATGAATAGTGCTGGACTAGGAGTGGGGAAACCCAGGTTCAGTCTCCCTTTCAGCCATGGAAGCTCATTGGCTGGGCCAGTTCCTCCCCTTTTCAGCCCAGGAGCCAATCAGGTCTGTGGGGAAGGGACTGGACTAGGAGTGGTGAGAACTGGTTTCTAGTCTGCTCTCAGCCATGGAAACTCATTGGCTGATTTTGGGCCAGTCCTTCCCTCTCAGCCTATCAGGTCTTGTGGGGAAGGGGCTGGACTAGGAGTGATGAGACTTACAGATTCTAGTTCCCTCTCAGCCATGGAAGCTAATTGGTTGACTTCGAACCAACGTCTGCCTCAAAGCCCAACCTTGCAGGGTTCGTGTAGGGAAAACTAGGAAGAGGGTACACGATGTACGCTGCTCTCTATAAAAAGCTGTGTATTAATAAATAAATACAATTGAAGATCTTTATGCTAAAAAATTTCCCTACAGCTTTCCTTCTAGAATGACCTGAAGCCTCCCAAATCATCTAAAAAAAGAATGGGGTTTCTTTGTGCGTGTGTGTGTGTGTCTGTGTAGGGGGGAATTTTGCAAACTAGCTCTTAACCTTTTTTTTTTTAAAAAAAAAAAAGTATTTCCTCTATGTTTTTGAGGCAGCTTGTAGCGATATCAATACAGCAGACGTGACTTTTTTGAGAAGCTGGAAGGAGGGAGGGAGGGAAACTTCAATATAAATTGCTCATAGTACAGCAAAGAAGCTTCTTACTGTGTTTTTAGCCTTAGTTTGAGGAGATGGGGATAGAAGTGTGACATTTGTGGGTAAATGGGCTGCAAGGATAGAATTTTGACACAGCTCCCAGAGGATAGCAGAAAAGCATGTGATTTAACCTGGAGAATCCCAGCCTGTAGATAACATACTGTAAAGTGCCTGGTCTATTCTAATGTTTCTCAACCTTGGTAGTTTTAAGACATGTGAACCAAGCAATGCTGGCTGGGGAATCATGGGAGTTGAAGTCTTAAATTTGCCAAGGTTGAAAAACAGTGTTCTCTTCCCTGGATAGGAAGGATGTAGTTCCACCACATATCATCAGCGGTGTGTGTGTGTTTGTGTCTGTCTGTCACAGCCTCCATTTTGCCATAAGAATTTTTCTCATGCTGGCTGGGACACCTTTGAGGGGCCAGGGTGGGCGTGGCCTGGTCATGGCCGCCTGGGTGTGTGTGGCCCGGGTGGCATGGGCTGGTCCCTCGCTATTCTGGGACGACCCTGCAGGACAACTCTGGGCCTCTTGCAGGCCGGATCCAGCTCGCAGGCTGCATGTTTGACATGTCCGCTCTAAACCTTCCACAAGTTGCCCCTAGATTGTGATATTTTAAAGCAGTGATCCCCAACCTTTTTTACGCCGCGGCCCGGTACCGGCATCAGCTGGGCGCCGCCATCTTTTTTTGATGAAAAAGTGCTTCCGGTGACCTCACCGGAAGCACTTTTTCATCAAAAAAAGATGGCGGCGCCAGCGCTTCCGTTGAGCTTTTCCGGGTAGAAATGGCTTTCTACCCGGAAAAGCTCACCAGAA